TTGTCAGATCTTCAGGTCTGCTCGTCTGCTGCTGCTGGCCGGGGATGATCTCTGTCGGCCCGGAGAGAAGCTGGGACTCTCCACAGAACTGTGGTGCCGTGACCCAGAGCTCAGCTCCGCCACAGAGTCGGGTGTGTGTGTTCTGCCGGCTCTCCTCAGGTCGGACCTGGACACGGCCCGTCCGCAGCGAGTCCTCATGCTCGGGTCGGCCTCAGGCCCGGCGCTGGAGTCTCCGCTGTCCGACCCGTTGCCCTCCATCACGGTGCTGCAGTTCCAGGCCGGGCTCACTCTCCTCTGCTTGCGCAGTGCCGTCGGGCCGGGCAGAACCGAGCTCTCGGACTCGAGCACCAGCGGAGAGCGGGTCCCGCTCGTGTTGTTGGAGTTGCTGTTGCGCTCCAGCGGACTGAGAATGAGGTCCCGGTTCTGCCTCTGCGGGTCCAGACCCGGCTCGCCCTGCACCGGGACGAAGGCGCACAGGGGGTTGATGAGCGCGGGGTAAGTGGGGCCGTTGCCCTGCTTCTCCAGGAGCGGAGCGAATCCGCCCGGGACCGTGGGGATGGTGGCTTTACGGCCCTGGCTCACGCACACCTGATGCACCACTGAGTTCTTCTTGCCGTAATACTCTCCCAGGTCCTCTTTCAGCTGAGGATAGTAGTCCAGGAGTCCCGTCTTCAGTTTCTTGTATGCGAGATGCAGGATCTCCATCAGGCTGAGGAACAGGGACACGGCTGCGATGCCCTGCATGAACACCATGAACACGCTCTTCTCCGTGGGCCGGGAGACGAAGCAGTCCACGGTGTTGGGGCACGGCTCCCGGTCACACTTGTACAGCGGCTCCAGATGGTGTCCGTACAGCAGGTACTGGCCCAGCATGAAGCCCACCTCCACCACGGACCGGGTCACGATGTGGGCCACGTATGTCCTGAGCAGAGACCCCCGCAGCGGAGCCTTGTTGAGCTTCCCGGTCTCCAGCTGCCTGAGCTCCCGCTCGACCCGACGCCGGGGCTCCAGAACCTCCAGGTCCATCGTCTCCAGCTCCCGGCGCAGGGCCACTCGCTTCTCCAGGTCCATTACCTCCAGCTCCCGGCGCAGGGCCACTCTCTTGCAGTGCCGCTCCTTCTCCAGCACGCGCAGCCGGTAAATGGCGTGACCCATGTAGACCAGCGAGGGCGAGGACACGAAGATGACCTGCAGGACCCAGTAGCGGATCAGGGAGATGGGGAAGGCCCGGTCGTAGCACACGTTGTGGCAGCCGGGCTGCTCCGTGTTACAGATGAAGTCGGACTGCTCGTCGTTCCACACGTCCTCGGCCGCCACGCCCAGAACCAGCATGCGGAAGATGAAGAGGATGGTGAGCCAGATCTTTCCCACCATGGTGGAGTGGATGTGGACCTCCTCCAGAATTCCCCCCAAGAAGTTCCAGTCCCCCATCCTCCTGACGGGCCGAGAAACAGCTCAGTCGCGCACACAAACACCACATAGCAATCTGTGCTTTAACAGGGGTTACTGCGCAAACACATGCTGTGCATGTAACCTGACTGAGATCTGTAAGCTCGTCTATTAATGTGAAGCTGAAACTGATAACAGAAGTTCACAGACGATAAAAAATTAGCAGTACTCACCATTTGAAACAATCACTTCTCTCAAAGATATAAAAACATTAAATGAGAAAAACTGAATCCAGCTAATGGCATGATCAAAATACATCTGCTTCACTATTAGCTGAGAGAGACACTGGTTAGAGAGACACTGGTTTGTCAAATGTAGGTCGCTGGTGACTTTATATCCTGGAACAAGTGATCGATGCGGTGTTGCGTGCCGTGGCTGTAAAGGCCTGCAGGTCATCTGGGCACTGAGACGGGCAGCACCACTGCAGTCACGCAGCTCGCACCACACTGGGAGAAGGCTTCACGCTTTATTCATGACATTCAGCTGTTCACTGAAGAGACTCGCTCAGGTTCTGCTTGCCTCAACATTTAAAAGCAAAAACAGCAAGCATGCGTGCAGTTACAGGGTGATTGAGTCTGTGAGATTAACTAGTTCTCCATTTGTCGATACTTATTATCCTCATTAATGATCAATCGGTCATGTCCGATTTCATACATGAACTGATTCCAATCAAGATTTTCCCTCAAGCCGATGTCTGTCAATGTTTGTAAACCCATCTTTGAAGAATCAATGGCCAGAGAGCGCAGCGATGTTTTGAGTGGGCGGGGCTTCAGCACCTCTCAGCCAATCAGAGGGTCGGGAGGCAATAGATCGTGGGATGGGTTTTGTTGTCGTGAAACAGCCTCATTGATTTGCTGCTTTTATATGCAAGTGGCTGTTCTGTTCCACGCAAACTCCGATCACGTAATGCTGAAGGGTCACGTGGTCGGCGGCCGGTTTATGTGACACGTGTCGTCAAAGGACACTCGTGTAGAGAACATGACTATTCAAAGCTAAGGACAGAATAAAGTATCAGCATTTTATGATCAACTTGTTTGATTAAACCAGAAATAAATCCCTTCATGATATTCCAAATTGTAGTTTTTCCAAAAGTAGAACATGAACATATTTTGACTGTCATTGTATAGAGAGCTTTTTGTTTTTAAAGACTTTTTTCTAAATATCTTTTTTGTTACACAGTCCTACAGATTTGGAAGGAATGAGGGTGAGTCAATAAGTTAATTTTAGGGTTTTGGAAACTCAATCAGAAGGCTAAACTTAGCTCTGTTGTGTGACGCCACGCACGTACGAGGGGATCAATCTAGACATAAAAACACAAGTACACAATGGGCTAGTAAGTAATAGAGTAATTTCCTTGAAAATCATGCAGCAAGATCTGAGGATAAAATGAGATCAACAACAAACTGATGCACAAGAAATTTATTTCATTTTGAGGTTACATGTAAAAGGCCTGCAGATTTTAAAAGTAAAAAACACATCCGAGACACTCATGGAAGACCGTTTTAAATGGATGGCCATTACTGGTTAACTAACACAAATCTCATACAAAAATATTGAAAGCCACTTACATCTCTCATTCTGTCTCAAATGCAGCTGCGCTTGTGAACTAAACCCAAAAGACGTCTTTCGCTGAATACTTCAATGCTAGTATAAACATTGCTGGCAGCCTATAAACAGACATGTGAACGTTTGCTAAAACTGGATGTAGGTTGACTCTCTCCTTATTAAAAGAAATAGACTGACAGCTGAAACTGGCAGGTTTGTGACCGCCAGTACGACTTCACACTGCATCCCAAACACTAAACCGAGAAAACAAAAAGAAAACCACCCATTGAGGACTCGTAAGTTGTGGCTGCGGGTCTAATGCCCCCAGGACTTGCGGCCGGCCCAGGAGCGCGAGCGGGACCGTGAGCGGGACGGGGACCGGGACGGGGAGCGCGTGTGTGTCTTGCCCAGAGCACAATCCTGGTTCTCCGTGTGGAAATCGTTGGCTTGGCGTGGGCTGATGGACCGGGACCGGGCCGCGTCAGACTCTCTGCGTCCGGGCCGGGCCTTGGAGTGAGAGGGGCTGCGGGAGCGCTCGTCGACCCGAGAGCGGTGGTGTTCACGCGCAGACGGCCGGTGCCTGAGGGATCACATGACCATTACAATACTGCAGTGCAACACACACACACGAACCATTACATGTAAAGCGCATTAAACACACAGCAGTGCATCAGTTTCTGCTCCAGCAACACCACTGCCATCAGCTAGTCGACCGATACCGCCTGTGGTGTGTGTGATCAAGGGTTTTCAGCTGATTTCAGCATAAATACATGTCTGTGTGGAAGATTCAACATCTGGAAATTCACATTTTTTTTACTTTAAAGAACAAAAATAAAAGCAACTTGAATGAACTTAAAATAACTTGCATATACCTATTATAAACAAGAAATGCAGCAAGTGCCTGATCCACTAACTACAACACACAGTTATAAAACAGTTCAGATTGTTCTGCGATACAGAAAACGGTACAAGTATAGAGAACTACTTTCACTTTCTGAAGAACACAGAATTAGTGCATCAACAGGATTACAGTAAAATCAGGGATTCCTGCACATTACATTTATTACGATATGACAAATCTTTTATCACGATACAAGTTATTTTGTATCGAGATAAAAATATATGTATAATGATAGTTCTTTTTGCTTTAAAAACGGTTATCATATAAAAAACTGATACCATTGAAATTTCATAATTCTCATCATCAATTTCAATATTACAAAAAAAATATAATACTAGCCTAACTGAAGAAACAAAACAAAACAAATCTCTCAAGCTCACTGAAGACAAGTAAACAGCGAGATATGAAGAAAGCAATAGGGGGAAAACTAGAACAAAGACAGCTGAAATAACCCGGCCTGAAAAACCTCAAGCACTAAACAAGAAATACTTCAGCTATTGTATAAAGCAGAGTTCATCTCCAACACGCCTGTCTGGAAGTTTCTGAAGAGCTTGATTATCTGGTTCAGGTGTGTGTGATTGAACTCTGACACCCTGATATACACTGCATAGTCTTCACTATGTAAATTAAAGTTATTAAAGTTACTTAAAGTCCCCGTGAACCGTAAGTTGCAAACGACTTTTCTCCAGTGTTGTGACGTATTTCCGAGAGAAACGGAATACTAAATGAGGCAAAATAGTGGGCGTGGCTTTTTTTCCAACTAGCACCTGATTGGATCTAGAAAAGTAGGTGTTTTCATTCAGCCTGACTACTGTCAGTTGGAGGGGCGTGGTTACGGATGTTAAGCAGACGCCCAAACCGTAAAGCCTACGTCATCAGGCAAGGTCCTCCAACGCAGAGGGGAGGGGAAATTTCTGATTTTGATTAAAGATTACGAAGCCAAAAAATGTTTTTGTGTGGATTGATTTGCATAGATGAATTGTTCACCACAAAACGATCAATTTAGGCAAACAAAGTAAGTATGGTCAATTTTGAATTCATGGGGACTTTAGTAAAGTGACAGTGTTTGATCAAGACGGGTTTATTAGGCTGCTGTCACTTTAAGACCGCATGCACTGATCTAAGATAATGTTACACGTTTTCTTTCTACACTGTTTACGTTCACTTAACGACTGTTTACGAGGACCCTCGCAGTGACAGGCATTTTGACACAGTGTGTGTGTGTATTTTACTGTTCAAGCCCAATAAGGTGTCAGTATCACGCGCTGTATGCATTTCAGGTGTGTGTCGCTCAGGAACCGTCTCTCAGACAACACACATATACCAAAAATACTTCTCTTTAGCTGCTTTTGGTTTAAAAATCACTCGATTATCGGCGCGCGTTATTCGTCAGCGTTTTTCAACCTGTTTTTTTGTGTTCACACCCAAGCGATTTTCGCTGACGTTGAGCCGAGTGAACACGCAAATTCATTCCCTGACATTAGATGGCGCTTAATGTAAAACAGAAATAGTCCTATTATATTTTGTAGTCGCTGTCGCGTTTGTCATATAGTTCTTTATGTTCCGACACCAACGAGACCAGCAGCTCTACATTCATCTTGCCTTGCATCTTCCTCGTCTTATTTCTTCCCGGCAGTGTAGACCATAGATATCCATAATAAAGGCCATTGGCCAGCAGCGCGGACGAGACATCTATGGTGTGTAGACGCTATTGGCGCATCTTCTTCGCCGTTACGTTTGTGTGCTCGGCAAGACCGTTTTGTGTTTGAGCGCCCCCAAGTTGTGTTTTACTGTAACTTCAGGAGCTCCAGACACGTGAGCAAAAGCGCCAATCTCATTGGTCGGATAGTTTTTGACGCAGCGCGTCAAACCAAAAAAACAAACCCGAGGCGTTAAAAAAAAAAATTACGCTTTTACGCGTGGCGTTTTTCGCGTCGGTGTGCACACTCACATAGGCGCCCTTTGTTTAGTCACGAGGCATTAAACGTCGGCGAATAACGCGCGCGAAATTCGTCCCGGTGTGAACAGGCCTTTAGAAGCGTTAATGTCGATCCCTGTGTTCAGTCATGATTTCTGTCGTGGTGAAAAGCAGAATAGGTGATCGGTTCTTCTGCCGTTTGCTTGAACTGAGACGCTACAGCGATCTGTGTGACTGTCACGCAACAAAGTGTCGAAAGGCGTCTAAGGTCTCACTCCAGTCTAATTAGCCTAGTTCCCATTATTATTGTGAAGTTTACAGTGCAACTTCACCCCTTCAGTCAACACAACGAACTTTGCTGTTGCGACTAGTTTGCAGGCAAAATGAAATTAATGCCCTGTTTCATAACAAGTCATATTTTGATTAGAAACCCCATAAGATTTTTCTGAGATGTTTATTTATGTAAAACATTTTGGAAATGAGTAAAATTTTCCTCTCCAAAGTTTAAGACAACAGTGAAGCTGCTCTGAAAGCTGTTAGTGGATTTACCTGTCGTGTTCTCGACTGCGGCTGCGTCTGCTGTGGGGCCTTCCTCTGGACCTGCTGGGAGAAACACACGTCAGAGCAGACAGAGCCACGGTTCTCCACAGAGGACATGTGGGTGAAGCGACACGAGGTCACGCGACACGAGGTCACGCGACACGA